AGGTGATTGGTTGGGGGTGGGTCGTGGACGTCATTCGCCCAACACCTGCACATTGACCCAAAGCTGGGGCCGCGCGCGGCTCGGCAGCCCACTTCGGGTCATGCGCAAATTCCGCATGACCCAAACAGTAGCCAGAACAGTGCTCATGACCCGAACATGGATACGCCCTCAGCATCCTGGCGCGCTACGTTGCGCCCGGGAGACACCGCCCTGAGCACTGGCGGGCTGCTATGAGGATGCTGTGCTACTTGGTGAGTACATCAGCTTGAGGCCTGTGCTTGGGGGACGGGGTTCAGTTGTGCTCACGGGGCACTCAAACGCTTCGTGGGCCGACGACCAGGCGACTCAGCGGTCGTCGCATGGCTACACTTTCAGTCTCAACACTGGTTCTGTCTCATGGAAGTCCGCTCGGTCGTCTTCAGTGCTCAGCTCCACTTGTGAGGCTGAGATCTACAGTGTGGCTATGGTTGCGCATGAGTTACGATGGCTGGCCTACTTGCTCACCGACTTGGGTGAAGGGCCTCGTTCTCCTCCGGTTCTGTTCGTTGACAACAAGGCCATAATAGCCTTATGTTAGGAGCACACAACGAAGCACATTGCTCTTCGTTACTGTCTCATGCGAGAGTTGCAGCAGCGTGGTCAGCTTCGCCTTTCTTATGTGGCCTCTAAGGCCAATACTGCTGATATTTTCACCAAGGCTCTTGGGTCTAGTGATCATAAGCGTTTATGCACTGCTCTTGGCCTTGTGCCTACTCTGCCTCACTTGCTTGTCTCTTGATGTCGTCTTGTACTTGTTGTACTCTGATATACATCTATACCTGCATGTGTACATTTGCTTGGATGTGATCATTGTACTACTCTTGCTTCCATAACACTGCATGTGAACTAGCCTTGTGGCCGCTTGCTTGTGCTCGGACTATATGGTGATCTTGAGATCCTCCCTGAGTGTTGTTTTCTTTCTTCTTTTGACTGGTGTTGTGACCTTTTTGCGTTGCTACTTCTTGCTTTCCCCCACTTAGCCTACGGGGCTATGTCAAACTAATTATATGCTTGCAGGCTGTAGTGGGGCACTCTCCAAGGGGTATGACTCTTTTGGGGTTTGAACTTGTACCCCCTCCTTGTCAGTGAACTGCATTCCGCTAGTTTCTAACAAACAACAATATACACGGCACCCATAATCACTTCGTCCCGTTTTCATTCACGACATTCTCCACCTGAGCACCGTTTGTACCATCGCGCCTTAGCCACACGCCTCAGCTGGTAATCCGCGGTCCAGCCCTCAGCACTAAGCCCGTAGAGCACCCTGTTGGAAACATATAGTTTGCGCTTCTAATGTGTCGAAACATTGAATTGTAAGCGAGGCAGACTGCAGCGAAGCAACAGCGAGTCAACCAAAGAGGTTGACAGCATGCAACAGCAAGGAGGTTAAGCGAAGTTCATAGGTCAGCGACTGACTCACCGAAAGGAAGCGCGACAGCAAGGACAAATAACTGGCTCGTTATTGAGCTTGCCCGGGTCGCAGCTGTATCAAATCGCAACAGCAACAGCAACAGTTAGTTGTGACCTTTCATATTCCCTTGTACTCTTATAAAAGCTTTGTATCTCTTTACTATAAGTAATCTATCTTGCTCTCACACACTAGTGCAAGGTGGTTCAACCAGGTCACTACAACGCTTCCGCAATTACATCATCACTTCGAGTCTTAGCCGTGAAACGATCCTAAGGGCTTTTCTCAGCCCAACAAAGTATGAGAGCTAACAGGGCAAGACTCAATTCTGTACAACATTCTACAACAACTCAAGACATGGCAATACAGAAGGAGAGAAGCTCCTCTAACGGATCTCCCGGCACTACTCCTACTCCACCTCCAGCCTCTGGACTGCAGACAGAGGGAGGTACGGCAACAAGACCAGCTGCTGAATGTACTAAAACTCCAGCAAACCAAACAACCGGCTTCGACCCAAGAATGATTGAGAAGTTCTTCTCCTTCATGTCATTTTACGAGCAACTGCCGACCGGACCTGTCATACTCAGCGAGCCAACTCGCGTATCTCAAGAAGCCCGAAGCAGAGCACATGGTAGAACTCGATCGCACACTGCACTACCTCGTCAGCACACCAACGATTGGCTTAACCTACCACAAAACAGGAACCTCGACGCCTAAACTAATCGGCTACGTGGATGATGACCACGCTCAGGCGATCACGCTCCGGCTATATCTACCGACTCGAGCCTATCGGTCCTATTTTGTGGCAGTCGAGCAAGCAAGAGCTAATTGCTCTCGCCTTAGCTGAAGCAGAATACGTCGCACTTTGCTCAGCCACCAAGGAAGGATTGTACCTTCGCGACCTACTGGAAGAAGCAAAGCTGGCCCAGTTACCCAGCTTCTCCCTCTTCTGCGATAAGCAATCAGCAATTCGCATAGCGAACAAGAACGGGTTCGCGAACCGAACAAAGCAGATCGCCCTGCGATACTTCTTCGTGAAGGACGAGATCGAAAAGGGTCGAGCTATCCTACTCCCCCACATCCGAGATGGCAGCAGATTACTTGACCAAGAAACTCGGATAGCAGACGTTCGAGTATTGCATGCTGCTGACTGGACAAGGCCACGTCACCAGCAACGACACTCCAGAAGCGAAAAGGGGTGTTGGAAACATATAGTTTGCGCTTCTGATGTGTCGAAACATTGAATCGTAAGCGAGGCAGACTACAGCGAAGCAACAGCGAGTCAACCGAAGAGGTTGACAGAATGCAACAGCAAGGAGGTTAAGCGAAGGTCAAAGGTCAGCGACCTTTGACTCACCAAAAGGCAGCGCGACAGCAAGGACAAACAACTGACTCGTTATTGAGCAGTTGCCCGAGTAGCAGCTGTATCGAATCGCAACAGCAACAGCAACAGTTAGTTATGACTTTTCATACGGTATTCCCTTGTAATCATATAAAAACTTTGTATCTCTTTACTTTTAGTAATCTATCTTGCTCTCACACACTAGTGCAAGGTGGCTCAACCAGATCACTACAACCCTTCTGCAATTACATCATCACTTCGAGTCTTAGCCTTGAAACAATCCTAAGGGGTTTTTTCAGCCCAACACGCCCCAATAATTCGCACATTCCGCTATATAAAATTTGCTCACAACTTTGCTCATACGTTTGTGATTCTTGCCTCCATAGTGCAATCCTCACTCGATTAGTTGCACTCGTAGCTGTGATACAAGAAACGTTAATGTTAATAATAGTAGAAAATAAACAGGTGCATCCGTTCCTAATTTATTTCAGCAGAACCGCAGGTGCAGCAAGCCGGTCATTGGTGGCCCTCAAGGCGAGGATGAGGCGAGTGTGCCGCGAGGCCAGTGACCCCACAAAGTAGTCTGACTCCGCTGCGATCAGCACACTTGCCAGCTGTGACCCCACCACACCTGCCATGCTGGCAGCCGCTGATTGGCCGTAGCTGTCGTGCCGGGAGTTAAGGAAGGTCCAGTCGTCGAAGGCTGCCAATTGTGTCTGCGTGGCCTGAGGGGCCCACAGGGGGATGGGAGAGAGGAAGACAGGGCAGACAGGGAGGGTGTGTGATGGCTGGAAAGGAGTAGCGTGCATTTGCACCACTTGGACCTCTGCTCCTCGCACCACATGGCCCTGCACCCTCTCGCACCACATGCCTCAATGCACCACGTGCCTCATTGCACCACATGCCTCATTGCACCACGCGCCTCATTGCACCACGCGCCTCATTGCACCACGCGCCTCATTGCACCACGCGCCTCATTGCACCACGCGCCTCATTGCACCACGCGCCTCATTGCACCACGCGCCTCATTGCACCACGCGCCTCATTGCACCACGCGCCTTATTGCACCACGCGCCTCATTGCACCACGCGCCTCATTGCACCATGCGCCTCATTGCACCACGCGCCTCATTGCACCACGCGCCTCATTGCACCACGCGCCTCATTGCACCACGTGCGCTGATGACCCTGCGCACCTGCGAGGGAGAGGCGGTGAGCCACACGTGGTGGAGGTCAGGGTCGTGCTGCCTGAGGCTGTACGCGTGGAACACACTCGCCACCACCGCCATCTGCTCCCTCCTCCCCCGCTCCTCCAACTCCCCCTCCTGCCCACTCCTCCCCACCTCCTCATCCTCCCCTTCCTCCTTATCCTGCTCATCCTCTTTGAGATGCTGCATTGGCGGCCTCTCCACCCCTCGCCTCCGTCCTGTGTCCATGGCAACGATGGGGCGCAGCACATACGCCTCGCGCCCCGCCCCAAAGTAGTCTGACAGGGGGTTGCCCGGCGTCGCCATCACATTGCCGCGCCCGCGCGCCACACACCCGTGGAAGCCCAGCCCCGGCCACACCTGCGCCTCCACCGAGTGCGCAGTCGAGAAGTTGAGCGCCGCCAGCTCCCGCCCCTCCTGCTGCAGGGCGCGCGCTGCAATGGGGTGGCGGGCGGCCAGGGGTGGCAGCAGCAGCGAGGAGAGGATGCCCTGGGCCTCGGCGTGGTGCGTGGCCATGCCGCGCGCCACTTGCATGCCGTAGGCGCGGTGGCGGTGACGGTTGAGCAGGTGGCAGAGGTAGGGCGAGGGCCAGCGCAGCATGAAGCGCAGCGCCTGCGCCCTCCACCACTGCACCTGCACGAAGAGGAGGGGGGGATGGCAGGGGGGGTGGAGGGACGAGAGGGATATAAGGCGGTGGCTACAATGGAAAGAGGAGAGATAGCCCAACCTCACTGCTTGTGGGGGGATTGGGGGAGGGGACGAGCAGGAGGATGAGGGAGGTGCAAAAGTGGAGGGACAGGGCAAGGACGCATGGCATGTGGCAGCAGCCCAGCAGCGCTACAATGGCTCCATGCATGGCACGGTGGCGTGGACGCATGGTGACATGGTGGCACATGATGGTGACATGGCGGCACCTTCTGCTGTTTCTCCGTACACCGCTCTGCACCCCTCCGCGCCCCCCGCACCACCACCTGCTGCCACGCCCCGCCTAGCAGGCTGCTCACATGTGGGAACACAGCAGGAGATGGGAGGTAGATGAGGATGAGACGGTAGGAGAGAGACACAGGGGGAGGCGTTGGGGGAAACAGAGAAACAAGGGTAAGGTCAACAGTGGCGAGCAGCTTGACGAGTGCAGTGCGGGTTGTCATTCCCAGCTCGAAGTTGCCATGCATGGGTCACATCACATCACATCACATCACATCACATCACATCACATCACATCACATCACATCACATCACACCACACCACATCACATCACATCACATCACATCACACCACATCACACCACACCACACCACATCACATCACATCACGCCATACCACACCACACCACACCACACCACATCACATCACACCACACCACATCACACCATACCACATCACACCACATCACACCACATCCCACCACACCACACCGCATCACATCACATCACATCACATCACATCACACCACATCACATCACATCACACCACATCACATCACATCACATCACATCACATCACATCACATCACATCACATCACATCACATCACATCACACCACACCACACCACACCACATCACATCCCACCACACCACATCACATCACACCACATCACATCACACCATACCACATCACACCACATCACACCTCATCCCACCACACCACACCGCATCACATCACATCACATCACATCACATCACATCACATCACACCACATCACATCACATCACACCACACCACACCACACCACACCACATCACATCACATCACATCACATCACATCACATCACATCACATCACACCACATCACATCACACCACATCACATCACATCACATCACATCACATCACATCACATCACATCACATCACATCACATCACACCACATCACATCACATCACACCACACCACATCACATCACACCACACCACACCACATCACATCACATCACATCACATCACATCACATCACATCACATCACATCACACCACATCACATCACACCACATCACATCACATCACATCACATCACATCACATCACATCACATCACATCACATCACATCACATCACATCACACCACATCACATCACACCACATCACATCACATCACATCACATCACTCACGCAGCAGCAGCTTCAGCAGGATGCTTCCCACTTGGCTCCGCGCCCGCATCGCCATCACGGCACTGCACCGCAGCACTCGCCCGCACATGGGTGGTGGTGCACACCACATGCGCCTCTGACGCCACTGCACTGCCCACCTCCGCCACTGGCCTGCACGCCCCCATCCCGCCCCCCCCGCCTTCTGACCCCTCCGCCCCCCCTGCATGCACGTCCGTGCTTCCCAGCCGTCCCCCTTGCAGGCGTCCCCCCTCCATAACAGGGTGGGAGAGTGAGACGGCGGCGTGGGCAGCGGCCTGGCAGGCGGGCGAGGTGAGGCGGTGGAAGTAGCAGTGCCACGAGCCCCATGCGCTGTGCGCTGGGGCGACACGCGTGGAGGGCACGCAGGGGGAAGGAGACATGGCAGCATTAGAGGGGAGTGCAGGGCGCACGTGCCACACACACGCATCCAGACAGCTTGCATGCATTCGAGCCTTCTTGCCATCCCTCATGCCATCCCTCATGCCATCCCTCATGCCATCCCTCATGCCATCCCTCATGCCATCCCTCATGCCATCCCTCATGCCATCCCTCATGCCATCCCTCATGCCATCCCTCATGCCATCCCTCATGCCATCCCTCATGCCATCCCTCATGCCATCCCTCGTGCCATCCCTCGTGCCATCCCTCGTGCCATCCCTCGTGCCATCCCTCGTGCCATCCCTCGTGCCATCCCTCGTGCCATCCCTCGTGCCATCCCTCGTGCCATCCCTCGTGCCATCCCTCGTGCCATCCCTCGTGCCATCCCTCGTGCCATCCCTCGTGCCATCCCTCGTGCCATCCCTCATGCCATCCCTCATGCCATCCCTCATGCCATCCCTCATGCCATCCCTCATGCCATCCCTCATGCCATCCCTCATGCCATCCCTCATGCCATCCCTCATGCCATCCCTCATGCCATCCCTCATGCCATCCCTCATGCCATCCCTCATGCCATCCCTCATGCCATCCCTCATGCCATCCCTCATGCCATCCCTCATGCCATCCCTCATGCCATCCCTCATGCCATCCCTCATGCCATCCCTCATGCCATCCCTCATGCCATCCCTCATGCCATCCCTCATGCCATCCCTCATGCCATCCCTCGTGCCATCCCTCGTGCCATCCCTCGTGCCATCCCTCGTGCCATCCCTCGTGCCATCCCTCGTGCCATCCCTCGTGCCATCCCTCGTGCCATCCCTCGTGCCATCCCTCGTGCCATCCCTCGTGCCATCCCTCGTGCCATCCCTCGTGCCATCCCTACGCCACCCCTCGTGCCATCCCTCGTGCCATCCCTCGTGCCATCCCTCGTGCCATCCCTCGTGCCATCCCTCATGCCATCCCTCGTGCCATCCCTCGTGCCATCCCTCGTGCCATCCCTCGTGCCATCCCTCGTGCCATCCCTCGTGCCATCCATCGTGCCTTTTTTATGCCATCCCTCGTGCCATCCCTCGTGCCATCCCTTGTGCCATGCCTCGTGCCATCCCTCGTGCCATCCCTCGTGCCATCCCTCGTGCCATCCCTCGTGCCATCCCTCGTGCCATCCCTCGTGCCATCCCTCGTGCCATCCCTCGTGCCATCCCTCGTGCCATCCCTCGTGCCATCCCTCGTGCCATCCCTCGTGCCATCCCTCGTGCCATCCCTCGTGCCATCCCTCGTGCCATCCCTCGTGCCATCCCTCGTGCCATCCCTCATGCCATCCCTCGTGCCATTCCTCGTGCCTACCACCCATGAGTGCGCCGCACCTCGGCAGGCGGGGTGCTGGGCGGGGCTGAACGACGCCCCCACGGGAACCAGCACGCGCCCACTGCTCACCGCCACTGCCAGCGCCTCCCCCATCGCCTCTACCGCTCCCGCCAACCACTCCCCCAACCCCTCCCCGTCCCCCTCCCCTCCCAACCCCTGCGCGTCCCCCCTCGTCCAGGAGCGGTTGAGCGCGGGGGGCAGCGCGGGCCAGTGCACGAGCAGCAGGCGGCGGCCGCGGCAGCGGTGCGGCGGGAACTGGTGCTCCCACAGATCCCTCTGCGCCGCCCGCGTGCCGCCCAGATTGCCCGCGTCCGACCCGCGCACCTGCGGAGGGTGAAGGTGGACGGAAGACGAGAAGGAGGGGTGGGAGGGGGGAGGGGAAGCGGGGTGGGAGGTGGGGGGGGGGGGCAGGGTGAGGAAGGTGTGAGTGCGGAGGGTATGAGGTGGCGCTTGTGTGAGAGGAGATGAGAGGGAGACGAGAGGGACGAGAGCACACAGATTGACAAGAGTGCACAGGAGGGCAGATGGAAGGTGGTGTGACAAGAAAAACAGCAGTAGATAGTGATGATGCATGCATGCGCGCAGGTAGTGCATGCATGCGCGCAGGTAGTGCATGCATGCGCGCAGCGGCATGCACATCTCACCCACGGGGGCTGCGGGACGCCTTCACACTGCTGCGCCGCCGCGTCCGCCCATCGTGGCGCCTGCCCCCTGCGCCCGCGCTGCTCCATGGCGCGGCGGAAGGCAGAGCGCGCAGCACAGTCGTGCAGGTGGGGCGCGGGGGGCAGGGGGGCGGAGAGGTGCACCTCGGCGGGCGGGTGGGAGGAGTTTGCGGTAAGCCCATATGCGGCCGCCCACGCCTGTGGCACAATGGAGGGCAGCAGGGGAGGAGGCATGGCGTGGGCAAAGACGGGTTGAGAGGGGGTTGTGGCAAAGTCGGTTGGGATGCACGCACCCCGTTTGCTCTCTCATTGTTCACCTCACCTATTCTCACACCACGCACCTCACCTATTCTCACACCACGCACCTCATATATTCTCACACCACGCACCTCACCTATTCTCACACCACGCACCTCACCTATTCTCACACCACGCACCTCATATATTCTCACACCACGCACCTCACCTATTCTCACACCACGCACCTCACCTATTCTCACACCACGCACCTCACCTATTCTCACACCACGCACCTCACCTATTCTCACACCACGCACCTCACCTATTCTCACACCACGCACCTCACCTATTCTCACACCACGCACCTCACCTATTCTCACACCACGCACCTCATATATCTTCACGGAACCCTCGCTGGGCCTGCTTATCTGCACCGTTTCCCCTCCCTGCGACCCCTCCTTTCCTCCCTGCGACCCCTCCTTTCCTCCCTGCGATCCCTCCTTGATTTTCTGCGACCCCTCCTTGCCTCCATCCAGCCCCTCGCCTCCTTGCGACACCTCCTCGCCTCCCTGCGACACCTCCTCGCCTCCCTGCGACACCTCCTCGCCTCCCTGCGACACCTCCTCGCCTCCCTGCGACACCTCCTCGCCTCCCTGCGACACTTCCTCGCCTCCCTGCGACACCTCCTCTCCTCCCTGCGACACCTCCTCGCCTCCCTGCGACAGCTCGTGCGACGTTGCTGCCAACCCCTCTCTTTCCCCCGTCGTCCTCTCTCCTTCCCACCCGCTCGCGCTTCCGTGCCCTCTCTTCCCCTCGCCCCCGCTCCCACTCGCTGCGCCCGCCTCTGCGTCCCCCGCGCGTGAATCCACCGCATCCAGCGCGCGCACCAACTCCCTCCCCCGCGCCGGATCCTGCGCAAGCCCTGCTCCTCCTTGCACCTCTTCCCCCTCGCTTTCCGCCCGCCTTTCATGCGCCGGCCTCCAATCGTGCGCCGCCGTTCCAACCGCTAGGGGTTGCCATAGGCTCGCATTTTCCGCCGCCTCTATGCGCGTGAACTCGGGAAGGTGAACAGCGTACTGGCTGACGCCCCGCGCGTCCACCCCGAGGTCTTCCAGCCCCGTCACGGCGCGCCGAGCGCCGTCCATCGCGTCTCCCCACAATGCGAACGGCTTCACGGTGCTTTGCGGGACTAGTAGGCTCCAGGATAGCTCGCAGCTTACAGTGAGGAACACGGCCAGAAGGATGGCTTGTAACACGTAAGAGAGGTAGCGCGGAAGTTTGAAAGCGCGTGAAACTGGCGGGAAGCTTTTCTGTCGGTCCAAACTGCTTAACTTCGAAGCTCCCATAGCGACAACACGTCGGCAGCGCTCGCGTGAGGTTCGGCGCTTTCAAACGAAAGAATCAGTCCTGCCACAACAGCTACCTGCGATTTATTCTGAAGGCTCCGGTCAGGAACGATGGTAAGGCCACGCGTGCTCGCATCGCCACAGCATCCGTCGAATGTCGCATCCAGCTTTTCCCCAGCCAGAAATATTGCTCTCACAAATCAAAACGCGTGATCCGAAATGCGTTCAACTTCAGACGGGGGATACCAATGAAACGTTATGCTTTCGTAAAACACGGAATGTAGGCTTCGGCACGCGGAAGGCTTTTTGGCGGCAAAATCGTGACAAAGCATGTTCACCATACAGTACCAGGTTTTTGTTTTCCTGCAGGATGTCCCGAACCGCGCCCCCTGGGGTTTCTACTGGTACAGGGCGACGCCCTGTCAGATTGCTAGCCTGGGCCATGGTGAACTGACTGACCCCTACACGGGGTTGAGCGAAGGCCAATCTGACGGTTGAGCGGAACGCTGAGGATACTTATCAACCACCACCAATCGATTTCTCGTAGCGCGGCGCCTTGGCTGAGATTGGTCGAACTTCAACGGAAGTGGAAAGTGAAGTGTGCACAGCACACAGATTCGCGCGCACACTGAATAATTTCGTTAGAGATGCACGCGAAATCATCCTGAGTGCGGTTTGTTTGAATAAAGGTGAGCTGAGAGGTCTTGCGGACTACAAGGCAGGTTTCAGAATGAATATGCTCTATAATTTGGCTGACACATAAACAATAAGCTCAGCGCAACAAACTACAGTTATAAGCAAATCTAATCAACCATTCTGCAAACCACTCAATTCTACTAACTTACATATGTTTCCACTTCTATATCTCTTAACCTTTCTTTCTACCTTTCGAGGCTCCGACCTACCATTCGTCAAAGTTCAACGCGACATAGCCAGCAAATAGCCTCCCGTTGGTCAGTCTCAGCTCATTGATAAGCCGATTCCAGTTTGAACCCAGAACTCCCACGAAGTAATCACACTCTGAGGACACCAGCAGGTTGGCAAAACTGGCTCCCACCACACGAGCCATGCCAGTGCGGCGAAGGTAGTGTGACATGGTTTCCTTGCCCTTTTGCCGCGGCACCTTGGAATAAAAGAAGTCCCAGTTGCCAAAGCTGGACGATCTCTTCACCACACTCTGGAGGCAGAAGCGACAGTAAGCAAAGCAGAAGGCAAAGCGAGAGAAGGCAAAGGTGTGGTTGGTATTGGAGTGGAAAGTAGAGGCATGACGGGTGGATGAGGGGTGTGCCACGCCAGAGATGGCCACTCTATTGAAGGAGTCTCCAGGTGGCAGGCACCAATCCACCGAGGCACTGTCTGGCCCGTCTTGCCAGCTAAGGCACACACACCGCAGCCTGGTCTCACTCATCTCTCAGCTTCGCCACCCACGCCCTCCTGCCCTTGTCTTCCCTCCCCTTTGCTCATCTTCCCCAACTGCACATCCAGTAGCTGAACCTGCACCTTCGTGCTCAACCCCTCACCTGCACCTCACTCACCTGCATCTCACCTGCATCTCACCTGCATCTCACCTGCATCTCACCTGCATCTCACCTGCATCTCACCTGCATCTCACCTGCATCTCACCTGCATCTCACCTGCATCTCACCTGCATCTCACCTGCACCTCACCTGCATCTCACCTGCATCTCACCTGCATCTCACCTGCATCTCACCTGCATCTCACCTGCATCTCACCTGCATCTCACCCGCATCTCACCTGCATCTCACCTGCATCTCACCTGCATCTCAGTGCTGAGCCACACGTTGTGCAGGGCGGGATCGAGGCGGCGCAGGCGGTTGGCGAGGAAGACGAAGGAGGGGAAGGAGAAGAGCCGCATCTCACGCCCCTTGTCGCCCTGCCGCACGTGCACACTCACTATCGGCCGCGGCATGTACGCCTCCGCCCCCACTCCCCCCCCACCATCGCCATCGCCAGCAGCAGCAGCAGGCTCGTGCAAGAGCAGCAGTGAGCGTGCTTGCAGCGCAGCAGCGGTGCTGCCAGGCTCTGCTACCGGCAGTGCCAGGGGTGAGGCGGCCCCCTGCCCCACGCCCCCCGCCCACGCGCCCACGGCCTCTGCCAGCAGGTGCCCGCGCAGGTCCTCCCCCAGGCTGCTGGCCAGCCGAGCCGCCACGCTCAGCACGTGCTGCTGGCCGTGCATGGCGCCTGCTGTGCTGCGCGCCACGTGCATGCCGTAGGCGCTGTGGCGGTGGCGGTTGAGCAGATGGCAGAGGTAGGGCGAGGGCCAGCGCAGCATGAAGCGCAGTGCTTGGGCCCGCCACCACTGCACCTGCACAGTGGGAGGGAGGAGGGGGAAAGGGAGGAGGGGGTGTGATGGGACAGGACAATAATATTGCGACGCTACTCTGGAAAGAGGAATGGTGTACGCAGGAAGACACATGCAGTGCAGCCCCTCCCCAGTGCACTCAGGGAAGAGGTATAACGAAACAGGGAGAAATGCTTTACACTTCGCCAGGTGTGGAAGGTGCAGAACAACCAAGCAAGCAACGTGACCAGAGCACGCGTTTGGGGTACCTTGAGCACCGTGGTGTTGCTGGGCACCTTGAGCACCGTGGTGTTGCTGCGCACCTTGAGCACCGTGGTGTTGCTGCGCACGAGCTGCCCGCTGACCTCGTTGGTCCCTGTGCGCTCCCTGTACGCCCCCCCCCACAGCCTGCCATCCCGGCGAAGAGTGTGGGCACACGGGCGAGAGCACACAGGCGAGAACACACAGGCGAGGACACACAGGCGAGGACACACAGGCGAGGACACACAGGCGAGGACACACAGGCGAGGACACACAGGCGAGGACACACAGGCGAGGACACACAGGCGAGGACACACAGGCGAGGACACACAGGCGAGGACACACAGGCGAGGACACACAGGCGAGGACACACAGGCGAGGACACACAGGCGAGGACACACAGGCGAGGACACACAGGCGAGGACACACAGGCGAGGACACACAGGCGAGGACACACAGGCGAGGACACACAGGCGAGGACACACAGGCGAGGACACACAGGCGAGGACACACAGGCGAGGACACACAGGCGAGGACACACAGGCGAGGACACACAGGCGAGGACACACAGGCGAGGACACACAGGCGAGGACACACAGGCGAGGACACACAGGCGAGGACACACAGGCGAGGACACACAGGCGAGGACACACAGGCGAGGACACACAGGCGAGGACACACAGGCGAGGACACACAGGCGAGGACACACAGGCGAGGACACACAGGCGAGGACACACAGGCGAGGACACACAGGCGAGGACACACAGGCGAGGACACACAGGCGAGGACACACAGGCGAGGACACACAGGCGAGGACACACAGGCGAGGACACACAGGCGAGGACACACAGGCGAGGACACACAGGCGAGGACACACAGGCGAGGACACACAGGCGAGGACACACAGGCGAGGACACACAGGCGAGGACACACAGGCGAGGACACACAGGCGAGGACACACAGGCGAGGACACACAGGCGAGGACACACAGGCGAGGACACACAGGCGAGGACACACAGGCGAGGACACACAGGCGAGGACACACAGGCGAGGACACACAGGCGAGGACACACAGGCGAGGACACACAGGCGAGGACACACAGGCGAGGACACACAGGCGAGGACACACAGGCGAGGACACACAGGCGAGGACACACAGGCGAGGACACACAGGCGAGGACACACAGGCGAGGACACACAGGCGAGGACACACAGGCGAGGACACACAGGCGAGGACACACAGGCGAGGACACACAGGCGAGGACACACAGGCGAGGACACACAGGCGAGGACACACAGGCGAGGACACACAGGCGAGGACACACAGGCGAGGACACACAGGCGAGGACACACAGGCGAGGACACACAGGCGAGGACACACAGGCGAGGACACACAGGCGAGGACACACAGGCGAGGACACACAGGCGAGGACACACAGGCGAGGACACACAGGCGAGGACACACAGGCGAGGACACACAGGCGAGGACACACAGGCGAGGACACACAGGCGAGGACACACAGGCGAGGACACACAGGCGAGGACACACAGGCGAGGACACACAGGCGAGGACACACAGGCGAGGACACACAGGCGAGGACACACAGGCGAGGACACACAGGCGAGGACACACAGGCGAGGACACACAGGCGAGGACACACAGGCGAGGACACACAGGCGAGGACACACAGGCGAGGACACACAGGCGAGGACACACAGGCGAGGACACACAGGCGAGGACACACAGGCGAGGACACACAGGCGAGGACACACAGGCGAGGACACACAGGCGAGGACACACAGGCGAGGACACACAGGCGAGGACACACAGGCGAGGACACACAGGCGAGGACACACAGGCGAGGACACACAGGCGAGGACACACAGGCGAGGACACACAGGCGAGGACACACAGGCGAGGACACACAGGCGAGGACACACAGGCGAGGACACACAGGCGAGGACACACAGGCGAGGACACACAGGCGAGGCCCACAGGCGAGGACACACAGGCGAGGACACACAGGCGAGGACACACAGGCGAGGACACACAGGCGAGGACACACAGGCGAGGACACACAGGCGAGGACACACAGGCGAGGACACACAGGCGAGGACACACAGGCGAGGACACACAGGCGAGGACACACAGGCGAGGACACACAGGCGAGGACACACAGGCGAGGACACACAGGCGAGGACACACAGGCGAGGACACACAGGCGAGGACACGTGGCATGAGGGTAAAGAAGGGAGAGGGAGGGGTAGATGACGTTGAGGTGGACGAGGCGAGTGATTGGGACGTTGGCATGCTGCGAGTGGGGATAGCTGGAGGGAGCGTACTGGATGGGGGAATGTGGTGAGGTGAGTGGGGGTGGGGGGATGAGAGAGCTGGGAAAGTGTGACAGCAAGAGCACATGGCAGCAGATACAAGTACAGAGTACAGTCAGCGAGTGCTGATCAGTCACCACATGCGAATGTGAGCATAACAAATTGCACTCATTAGAATGGTAGCACGTCTGTGTGCACACACAGTACCATACAGACCTATCAACACATTCACACATGCATACATGCAAATGCACACACACAGAGAGGCAGGAGCAGGAGGGGAGGAGGGGGGGCGTACAGAGCAGCGGCGCCACGGAGGAGCTTGAGGTAGCGGCGGCCAGCCCAGGCGGGCAGCAGGGGGCTGCACCCAAACACCACCACCGCATCCGACTCCAGCGTGCGCTTCGTATCGTACCCACACCACCGCACCTCCCCACTCTCCGCCTCCCACTCATCCGCCCCCTCTGCCCCATTCCCCCTGCGCCCCTCATCCACCCGGCCCACAACGCTCTCTATGCCCCCCTGCCCACCCCCAGCACGTGCGGCGAGGGCCGTTGCACGGGCCGTGGTGCCAGCAGCGGAGGTGCGGTGGGCAGAGGAGGTGCGGTGGGCAGAGGAGGTGCGGTGGGCAGCGGAGGTGCGGTGGGCAGAGGAGGTGCGGTGGGCAGCGGAGGTGCGGTGGGCAGCGGAGGTGCGGTGGGCAGAGATGCGGCGGCGCTGCATGGCCGTCCACGCCCTCCAACGAGACCGCCCCTCCAGCCCCCGCTTCGCCTTGTACTCGTTATAAGCGCGCATGGCGATGTTGCGGCAGTGGGAGGAGGTGAGCGCGAAGAAGTAGCAGTCCAGCGACCCGCGCCTCTCCGCCCCCTCGCACTCGCTGTGGTCCGCCTGCGGGAAGCTTCCTGGCACGATGACGAGCGTGCGGTTGAAGAGCATGGCCACGCTCAGCACGGACCCTGCGCGGCCCGCCGTGCGCAGAGCAGTGAATCGCGCGGGGCAAGGAGCAGTGAGACGCGCGGGGCGAGGAGCAGTGAGACGCGCGGGGTGAGGAGCAGCGCGAGGAGAACAGGGGGACAAGTGGGGCAGGACACGAATACAAGGGGTGGGGGGGCAGAAAGAAGAGAAGACGAAGTGGGAGATGGGTGAGCGGCGGAGAGAGAGAGAGTATGAAGAGAGGCGAGGAGGGGAGAGGAGAGGATCGATGGGAGTGAATCACGTGCAAAGGAGGATCGATGGGAGTGAATCACGTGCAAAGGAGGATCGATGGGAGTGAATCACGTGCAAAGGAGGATCGATGGGAGTGAATCACGTGCAAAGGAGGATCGATGGGAGTGAATCACGTGCAAAGGAGGATCGATGGGAGTGAATCACGTGCAAAGGACGGTCATAGGCGAGGCGAGAGGGCGCGGGGGCGCACCAATGACGTGGAGCTGCGAGCCCAGCCCGTGCCCCGTCATGTCCAGCCACCGCACCAGCAGCAGGCGGCGGCCGCGGCAGCGGTGCGGCGGGAACTGGTGCTCCCACAGATCCCTCTGCGCCGCCCGCGTGCCGCCCAGATTGCCCGCGTCCGACCCGCGCACCTGCGGGAGGGAGGGTGAAGGCGGACGGAAGACGAGAAGGAGGGGTGGGAGGGGGGAGGGGAAGCGAGGGCGGGTGCGAAAGGGCGAGATGAGAGGATTCGAGAAAGGCAGTGAGGGGAGGGGCGGGCCTCGTGCGGCAGAAAGGTACGCACGCGCACGAGTAGCAATGCGCTGTTGCACTGGTTGCTGCGCTGCCTCCCCCGGCGCCACCTCGCCCCGCACCAGCACGTACCCACGGGGGTTGGGGAAGCCGCGCTCGTGCCCACGCGGGCGACTCTCCCCGCGGCCCGCGCCTCTCCAGCGCTTGGCGCGCGGCGGTCCGCGCGCTGCAGTCTTCTAGGTGCAGTGCGCGCGGCACCCCTGGCGGCAGCGAGATCGTTTCGGGCGGCTCGGTGTTCGACTCGCCCAGGCGGTACGCGCGCTTCCATTGCTGGCAACAGGACGGGGGGGGTGGTGCGGGAGAGATAAAGGAAGGGTGTGGGAGAGGATGGGGTGTGTGGGAGGCGGAAGGTGTGTGGGAGGCGGGAAATGTTGAGACACCATGCCGTCACACGCCATGCTCACTGCGTACAGCAGAGCCGCGTCGTCTTCGTCCTGCGTGCTGTTCGCCGCGTCGCCTGCGGCGCTAGCCATGCCGGCCGTCACGGGCCATACGGAGAGGCAGCCGATCGCCGCCGCGGCCAGCAGCCCCGCTGATAGCACGAGCTGCAACGGCGGCCTTCGCGTCGCCGCTTTCCGCCAAAAACGGGACATTGTGTTTGTGTTGATCAAAGAGAGGCTAGAATGCACTACGGATAGCGGCTACCGGATGAGCCGTATCGCGTCGATGATAAGAGAGTGGTCACGCGATTAGCGTCGCTTCGTCTCTCGCCGCAACGTGCAGATCGCGACCGCAGAGCAAGGGGAGCAAATACGAATGTCCTTAGGAAATTAGAACAGAATCGGCTAAGGAAATGGGTGTGAGCAGTGCATCACTTCTCCTCGCCCACGCCTCCGTGGTCACGCTTGTAGCTCCTTAGCGATGCGCGCATCGAGCGAGTGATCCCTATTAGCTCGGTTTGGACTTCCACGTGGTTTCGCAAATCTCGCCAGTGCGCGTTAAGAACAGAATGATGGATGTGGTATGTTCAGGACCCAGACACACGACCGGCCAGCTCTGCGGTTTCAGACCGTCCGGGAGAAAGGAAAGAGGATACGGAGGCCGTGCAGTCCAGAGTTAGGCGCTGTGAATGGAAGCACCACGGCCTACGGCACATGTGCAAGAGCCACTGCTGCACTGCGCGCTGCTCTCGCTGCTCTTCTCCAACTCAACTTCTCGAACTACAACCTGAACGCCTCCGCAGTGCGAATGCGAGTGTGAGAAGGAAACATGAGCCTACCCCCTGTTGGCAAGTCCATCCTCTCATTTCACTTGATGTGTTGTGCTCGGCCTGTGTCAGTCATTCCCCAGCCAGGATGAAGGCGTCACGAGACAGCACCGTATTGGAACGTGCAGTATACTATCAGCAGCACCTTGGATCTGGCGACTCGGTGCGGTGCCAGATTTCAGGCGGTTGGACAGAGCGCAATTCGGGCCCATGTCAGGGGAGCGTAAAGATATTTCGACGGGTTCAATATATTTTCATGTAGGTTCATGTAGGTTCTGGAAGGAAGGCCACAAGCGAAGCATCCCTCCCTTCCCTACGAAAGACTTGCCAGAGGATCTCTACATGGCGCTGTTCTACAGCCACATGGCCAAGCGATGATGAAAGGGTATGGGCATTTGGCACTCGTCTTCCCCTCTCATATAATAGGCAGAATTAAGCGTCGCATCCGATTGCGCGCCTACCTCAATTCTGTCGACCAACCTCGCACAGCAGGTAGGGATATCGAAATTCCTCGTTATCCCTCAGGGGCAAGCAGCATGGCCACGAGATGAGGCGCAGCAGCTGCAAGACACTCAAAGTCCTCCTACCTGTCCTCAAGGACGTCCGTGCCAAGAGCACACTCACCCCCGACGAACGGAGGACAGATAGACCCAGACTCAGCAACAAGACTAGCAGCGAAGTCTAGACGACAGGCAGCAGCAAAGTCAACAAGCTCAGAGACTAAGGCAGACGCAGCAGCAGACTCAAACGACGGGTCAGTGACAATAGTGGCTAGCAGACGCGTGACAGTAGGGTGAGCAGCACGAACCAGGTCTGACTCAGGGTCCAGAACGTCAGGCAGAGAAGACGCAGGAGGAGACGGCAGGGGAACACGCTGTGGAACAGAGGAAGGACGAAGTGCCATAGCGTGCGTGACAGGGACAGGAGGTGGACGTTCACGAGAAAATCGACTACCAGTGCGACACGCGCGAACAGGCGAGGCAGGACGAGACGCAGGCTCACGGTGCTCTGTAAGCGAGTCAGTCTGCTCATTGTAAGGAGGAGTAGGCAGTGGTGCGCCGGGCTGTAATGGGAGACCAGTAGAAGACGGAAGGCTAAGAACCTGGCAAAGCACGGAGTCAGGTGGTGGTAGAGACGGCGGTGACGGAGGAGCAAAAAACAGTCGCGGCGGTGCTGTGCCACCAGTACCAGCAGCTCCAGCGCCTCCAGCAGCTCCATAACCTCCAGCTCCAGCACCTCCAGCAGCAGCACCTCCAGCTCCAGTGACTCCAGCAGCAGCACCTCCAGCTCTAGCCCTTCCAGCAGCAACACCTCCAGCTCCAACGCCTCCAGCAGCTCCAGAACCTCCAGCTCCAGCGCCTCCAGTAGCAGTACCTCCAGCTCCAGGAGCAATACCAGTCCCGGCAGCTCCAGTACCACCAGTACGAGCACCTCCAGGACCAGAGGCACCAGCACTCCCAGTGCCTCCACGACAAGCAACTCCAGCAGCACGACTCCTCAGGCGGGTACGCGACGCAAGCCACTCTCGTGCCTGCTGTGGTGAGACAGGTCCGCGTCGGGAAACGAGACCCAGAGGAACGCCATTAGACTCAGCACCCCCCGACCCGGCACCCTCCGGCTCAGCACTCCCAGGCTCCGCACTCGTAGGCTCAGTACCCGCAGGCTCCGCACCCGCAGGCTCAGCACCCGCAGGCTCCGCACCCCTAGGCTCCGCACTCGTAGGCTCACCACCCCCAGGCTCCGCACTCCCAAACACCTCACGTGCAGGCTAAGAACCCCCAGACGCAGCACCCCCAGCAGCACCTCCCGCAGCAGCACCTGAGTCGCTAGTAACCTCTACAGGCTCAGCCAAGGGGGGCGGGTCTACCTGAGACACACCTGAAGGAGCAGGACCCTGAGGGGGGAGGGGGTCTACCGGAGGGGGACCTGGAGCGAGGAAACGCGGCGGGGGAGGGAGAGGGGTAGTGCAGTAGGGGAAGAGATGGTAGAAAGGAACCGACTCGTCAAAGGTGACGTCCTGAGAGGGGAAGACACGGTGCGAGGTGGGGTGGTAGAACTACCAGCCAGGCGCGTCAGGGACAAAGCCAATGAAGACACAGGGAATGGCGCGGGAGGAGGGCTTGTCCACAGACGTATCGCGGACAAGGGCACGAGCACCCTAGACTCGGAAGCGCGACGCATCGCCAACCTCCCCCGTCCAACGCAGTGTGGGCGAGGTCTCTGGCAAGGAGACACGGGGCCAGAGGTTGAACTGCTGCGCGGCGTACTCGACCACAAACGGCCACAGAAAATGGGGAGCCGCCGCATGGATCAAGGAAGTACGAGCGACCTCCATGACCAAGCCAATGTGGCGCTCAGCAACCCCATTTTGCTGCGGTGAGCCCGGAAGCGTGAACGACTGCTCGATGCCCTCCCCCTGACAGAAGGCCCGCAAAAGGTCGGAGGTGAACTCACCACGTCTGTCAGAGTGCAGACACAGGACAGGCAGGTCCTGACGGAACCTGCGGCTGAGCTGGAGACGAACAGCGCGTATCCAAGGGATCAACACATTAGGGACCTCCCCCTTGCGCTGCAAGGGGAAGACCGTGGTGTAACGTGTGTAGTCGTCGACGACCAGAAGGAAGTACCGCTCGTGGCCCTGTCCACGGACGCGGGCTGGGCCCCACACGTCCAGGTGGAGAGTCTGCAGGGGAGCCTCTGTGGGAGGGAACGAGGAGGAGTGAGGAGCGGCACGCTGCCGCCCCTCGACACAGGGAAGACAGGGAGGAGTAGGCAAGGGTGGGAGGGGAGGGAGAACCCTGGGAAGACCAGAGACAAGGACACGGCGGTGCATGCTACGAAGGCGCTGCACCGAGGGGTGACCAAGGCGGTGGTGCCAAAGGAGGGTCTGGTGCGACAAAGCGCGACACGAGCAGGGGGCCACTAGCTGACCTGACGCAGACACAGACGCAGCTTCCTGAGGGGACGCAGTGGTCAGTGTGTACAGGTTCGACCCCGGCTGCCAAGTGAAGGTAGCCAGGTGACGACCCGTCTGAGCACACGTGCAGTGTGTGACACGCTCATAGGCCGGGGTGAACTGGTGAACACCCACGTCCTGGAGCGCAAAACCCGCCACCAAGTTCGTAGAGAACGAGGGGAGGTGAAGACCTGACAGGGAGCCAGACGGGACCGCCGGACACGGCAGGACCGTGGAGGAGTGTGCAAGGACTGGACCCCCAGAGGGGTCTGCCAGGGAGGCTGCAACCGGCCGGCTAAGCGGCGTCAGGGTGGTGCTGTCCCGAAAGAAGGAGCGGGAAGCACCTGAGTCAAGTGTGAAGGTGTATAAGGCCTCAGCAGGCGCAGTACCAGAGAGAGCAGACTCACCAGCACCTAGAGCAGCAGCCTCACCAGCACCTAGAGCAGCTGGCTCTATACCTTGGTCAGGCGGTACGGACAGGTAACAGGCACGGTCAGCACTAGTAGGCAATGCATACATAGCAGTGAGAATAGCATCATAGTCAAGAGCAAAGATATCTACCCTCTGTCCAAGCAGCTCCAGCTAGGTGGGGAGCTCAGCCTCGTCGCCAAACTCGGTACGCCAGGCGTCGCTCTGACGGGCGAAGCAGCGGGACGGTGTGTGACCAGTCCGATCACTTGTGCGAATGACGTACGGGCAGCGAACGGTACTCAAAGACCCTCTACTCTGAGCGTACCACTCACGAAGCTGCTGGGGCGTAAGTGTCTCGCGCGGACGCCGCTGCAGCTGCAGCTGGCCACTGCAAGACGCTCCCGACTGACCAGCTCTAGGGCGACAGCCACGACGGCTACCGCCACAACCCCAACTAGCGTACCACTCACGAAGCTGCTGAGGCGTGAGAGACTCGTGCGGACGTCGTTGGAGCTGCATTTGGCCACCGCCAGTAGCAGCAGTAGCAGTAGTAGCAGCAGCACCGCGGGCAGGGCAGGCACGGCAGGCAGGCAGGCAGGCAGAGGGCGCGGCAGTGTGCGAACAAGGCAGGTGCTCACCAGTGGCGGGAAGGGCCGGCGCTCGGCGGGCGGCGGCAGGGTAGGCACACGACGGCGGCGACGGCGGGGCCGCATCAGCGGCTGCAGAGTAGGGCCGCGGCAGCTGCAGGGTGGGGCCGCGTCAGCGGCAGGTCGGGGCCGCGTCAGCTGCAGGGCTGGCGGGGCCGCGTCGGCGTCCGGGCGGGGCCGCGTCGGTGGCAGGGCGCGGCCGCGTCAGAGGCAGGGCGGGGCCGCGTCGGCTGCAGGGCGCGTCAGAGGCAGGGCACGGCCGCGTCAAAGGGTGGGCGCGGCCGCGTCAGAGGCAGGGCGGGGCCGCGTCGGCTGCAGGGCGCGGCCGCGTCAGAGGCAGGGCGCGGCTGCGTCAGAGGCAGGGCGGGGCCG